TTAATTAATACAATTGGTCTTTTTGGCATTATCTTACATCATAGTGAGGAAGCACAAGGGGGAACATTTGAAAACAAATAAAATAGTACAAGTCAAAAATACATGTATTTCATTGAAATTGACAATGTGTCAGAAAGGAATATTGAGTTTATTATTTACATCAGAGTGAGGAGGAACAAGGGGCAACATTGAAAAACAAAGTTATTAAGAAAAAAATTAATTACAGTCAATTATGTATTATAAATATTATTGTTGGAAATTCTGTGCTGAGATATGCTCAGAATGCACCAGAGAGGGTCTACATTTCAAAATTGTCTGAGGGGGCATGCCCCCATGCCCCCCTAGTTGTAAGTTTAGTAAATATAAAATCACTCCATAAGACATGGTAAAAAAGACAAAAATGCCTTACATTTGTGTTACTTTAGAAAAAACGAGTACTTGAATTTGCTTTATCCAATTTTTTCAGTTTTAATTAGTTTCAGGCTTTTAATTTTTCGGACCCACTTTTTTGGGTTTGGACTCCATTTTTTTTACCGTGGGGTCCATTGGACCCACTTTTTGGTAACACTTAATAAAACACTGACTTGCCATTCATATGAGTACGACTTGGTCCTGAAACTCGTAGTATTAAATTCCCGATATTCGACCGAATTTCAATATCGGGACATTAATCTCTTACTATAAAATGCATCAAACATGTATAATAGCGAGAAACACCTCCAAATTCGTTCTGATGTTTTCACTTACCTCGTACCTAGATAACACTTCTACGCAATGAGTATTCATAGCGAACCTGCAATTTCAGGCCATGGTAATACCCGTTCGTAAATTTCCTGCATCATCGGTCACAAATCGTGTGCTTTATCAGTATGACGGACGCAGAAAAGAAATTTAAAAATTGAGCCGGCATCTAAGTCAAAAAAGTCGGCAGTTTAGATATACTTTGTGATTCTGATAGCGTAAGGTAAACGTATTGTTGATAGCACAGGATGCAAATTAGGTGAAACGCCAATCCCATTCGACAGGTTCCTTTTATTAGATTTTAATTGACATTTAAAGTGAAACTGAAACTACCATCATAGTTCAAGTATACAGAATAATGCCTAGGGTATTGAGAATCAACTGAGTTGAAAAATAAGATGAAATGTACACCAACTCAATGGCTATGGCCAAAAATGGAACGTTCATAAATAACTTATATTGATATTGTAAGAGAGTGAGGAAACATAAAGGACACTAATGGGTTTAAAAATTTGAAAAGCTCTTGAAAATAATTTATGACGATCTTTTAGTGGTTATTACAATCTTTTAGTGGTTATTACAATCTTTTAGTGATAATTAGTCGTAGTGCAACCTTTTTGTGGGAAAAGGTGGAAAAAATCCATACAACCTTTTTTCCTTAAAAGGTTGCCATTCATACAACTTTTGTTTTGAGGAGGATCTGCAAATCTGATAACAGATGATTCAAATATTAAATAGAATGTAAATGGATGATCAAGAATGATGTGAAATTATGGTTGAACTTATTGTGCTTCAATCTTCAAAAAGTTGAGTTGACCAGAAAAAGATGATGAAACAACCCGAGCCTTGGTCATCAAATCCAAGGTTAGCAACATAAGCCTTGACAATAAATATCTGACAAAAATAATGTATAGACAAACTGAAATGCTGATGAGCCAAATTCTGAGAAAAGGTGAAAACTAAAAAAAATGTAATTGACCTTTAAAAAACACATGTTATTTCCTCGGAAATAATTCAAATATGCCAGAATAGTCTGGAGTTAGTAATTAAGGTGATGCATTATTCCATAGAAATGGGTACTTACTGTCAGTTTCCAGGTTTAAGTATAAATCACTGCTGTGATATCACACAAAGTAAAGGACAAAATTCAGAAAACAAACGAATATCTAATAAAATCAAGACTGAAGATGCAAAACAGCAACATGGCATTACAAAATCTACATATTATGTTTCTAACATACAAAAGTACTTGGGTGCATCAAAAAGTTTTGCAATTTTGACACTATCTCAAGTTATACATTTAGCTTTGTTTTGGCACAATTATAGATCATATATCTATACATAGTGTGTAACGATTTGGTTGCTCATCTGTGATTGGGTAAAAAGATATGGTTGCTATGGTAACGGGACCCGAGGGTACTCGGTTCCACCTAGAATATGTTAATTTTAAATTCTATTATATTCTGTTATTATTATGATTCAGTCACCAAAATTACAGGTTTGTGTGTCTTTTCATTCCCCCTTTCTATTTCTTATTGTTCTGATGACATCACACAAGGCTATTATGACATATGGATTTACATTGTGATGTAAATTGTGGGGAAAACCTGTGAAATCTGGCAGCCATTTTGTTTCAAGTAAATTTTCTCTTTCTGCTACAAACCCCACTTCCATATGGACAACGCATGGCCCCATACAAGTAGGGTGGCAATTGATGCTCAAGAGGACCTGGATTGGGAGCGTGTAACAACAGGCAGCTTACTCCCAGACACATTACCATGCGACTTCTTCTTGTTCAGTCATATGAAGAGGGGATTGAGGGGCATGTGCTTTGAAACCCAATAGGAACTTGCCTCAGCCGTGAGGAAGCGATTGACTGTTTTATCAGCAGGGGATTTCAGGCTGTCTTCAGAGACTGGGTCCACAGACATCAACAATGTTTGGCAGCTGGGAGCAATTATTTTGAATAATTTGAGAACAATGTTTGCAGAAAATTGATAATAGGAATTTGAGAACAATGTTTTAATATGCAGAAAATTGTTAATATGAGACTAAACAAGGTGTTGGCAAATTGATGTCATTTATTCTGTTTATTGCGTAATAATAAACTTGCATTGAACCATGAGGTCGCTTCTTATATTACTATGACAACCATATTTTCTTGAAAAATGAAGATCCAGTCTCAAAATTTTGCAGGTATGTCCACAAATGTATGATCATTGTTTGTGCCGAATATTATGACATAACTCAATATAGTTATTACGATAGAGTCAAAATTGCAAAACTTTTTGATGCACCCAAGTACTATGATATTAAAATCCCTATTCACTGACACATTACACCCAAAGAAAATACATCATGTACATATATATATTTGCTTCACATATTCTTGCCCGGATGCCAGCTTAAACATTGCTCTTTGCAATCCATTATAAATCACATACCGGAAGTAACATGTCATTGTAAATATTCAACTGATATGCAGTGGCTTGTAATGATCACTGGGTCCCATATGTGTTACAAAGTCACTGTGTCTATGCAACAAGATGGCCTTCCGTTAAGTAAAAGATTTCGGATATTTTGTTTTCTCAATTTAAAGTTGTACTTGTATTTTGTCATATTTGGAGACTGCACTACCTGACATAAGATCATGAACTATGAACTTGAAATGGGATGCTGAATGTTATTTTTGAGAGTTGAAGTTTCTGTTTAATTGTATATTGAGAACCTAGATCAACAGCATTGGGGCTATTTTAAGGCAGGAAAATATTGATAAAAATACAGTCATTAATACAATAAACAATCTTTATCACTCACTAAACCTTTCTTGCTTGACTTTTACAATCTAAGCATTTATATAATCATAATAAAGGCAATCAGTATATATCCCCAGAGAATATTTTATTTCTTATTTCCATATGCACTAAGCTATTGAGATCCATTATATTGTACAATTAAATTGTGATAAATATGTATGCATAAGTGCCAATGGGAAAGGACCAAAAATGACTACAGAATAGAGAGAAATACATTTAAAAGTACACCAGTCATAAGGGAAACAACCCCTACCATTACTGTCAACATAAAAAAATAGTTATAGATACTACTCTCAAAGTCCATAGGTGTGTCAAAGGGTCAAAATCAATCCACAAAATACACTATTTCACAATTGTCATCAGAAGAATATCATGGCTGGTTTTGATCCCTATTTCTCAACCATTATCTGGAAGTAATGTACCCAAATATTCTCAAAAGTACTCGTTGGCATAAGCTGTGCCCTCAAAACCCAGGTATCCCGTTATCAAAATCCCCCTTTAAGAAGTGAATGGTTCATTATTAGAGTGGTTCATGTTATTTTGGGTTTTTAAACCTGGCTTATATTAGAATGGTTCCTCTTTATTAATACTATACAGACATATATAATTTGTATCATAAGATTTTGACTCAGACTGACACAACAGAAATTGTCACAGGAGGATGGCAATAGCGCATAATAGACTAGATGCAAGTAGACATAATCTTGATTAACATCATTAAATATTCGACAAAATCCAGTCAAAGTGATGTCATATTTGAAATCTACATGTTAAAGTACATCTAGAAATATGGTTTTGAAAATCATTTATCAACTTTTTAAATTTTTTTAAAAAAAGTGACTTCTTGTTGGGAAGATTCTCCATTGACCCCATATTATAAAATCACAAATGAGTGTACAAATACCTCAGAATCACACAAATGTATTGAGAATGTTGAGCCATTTGCGATCCTTTGCCATGTTGATATTAAGTTGCATTTACAAACTTGTTATTTTCATCATTGAACTGAATCCTAAAACTTAATGTACTCCTACAGCTAGCAAATTAATTTAATCATTTTGACAGTTTTGAAAATGTAAAAAGGCTCTTTACAAAATAATAATGCACTTCTCATTCAGGTAATTTCAATTCAATAGATACACCGGGGCCTTCAATAACTGCAACAAGAGATTGGGTCTTCTAACATTAACATTAAATAAATATCAGTTATTTGTTTTTACCACAACCTCCATCTCCAAATCCCCTAACACATGTATTAAAAATATCATAACAAACAATATACAGTAAACAAGTATTTGATATAGTTTCTGGGCATCTCACAATAATATTTCAGTTTGACTGAATAATCATTCAAATTGTTATTAATGAAATACAGAAAGCTCCAAAAAGCAAAGTTGAATTTAAAAAAAAATATACATGTATATTAAATATGCTTTCAGATTGAACATCCATAAAGTCTCCTGGCCCAACCCATCACAGGTGTGTGTTTGTTATAATAGATGATACATACTCAAGAACAACTGAAGCAAAATGAAATGGAGCACAATAAACTGCAATAGAAAGTTACATTTGGAAGTCCCATGATACCCACCATGACACCAACTGGATACAACAACACAGGAGTAACATTTCTTTATGAGGAATTTACAAACATATCTCTGACAAATTCAACAATAAAAGACAATGATAAAGAGACTTATTTGTTGGCTTACAGAATTAGTCAATATATAGCTCTTTATTTCTTGCCAATACTTGGAATTGTAGGACTAATTGGCAACATTTTAAGTTTCATTGTATTTGTAACAAGCTTTTTATCGAAACTATCTTCCAGTGTTTACCTTGCTGCATTGGCTGTGTCTGACTCTGGCTTCCTCATTACAGTGATAATAATGAACTGGCTGCCATATGTTAATGTACAAATTATACACAAGCCTGCTATTTGTCAGATTACACTTTTTGTCTCTTCTGTGTGTGGTTTTCTGTCTGTTTGGTATGTGGTTGGTTTCACGGTTGAGCGCTATATTGCTGTATGCTATCCAATGAAGAGAAACTTTATGTGTACAACTAAAAGGGCCAAAATTGTAGTTATATCTCTTGGAATATATGCTATAGTTTCCTATTCATACATGCTATGGATGCATATGGTAATTGGTAATCAATGTGTACTCATCCCTATTCACATTCCAGCATTTTCAATCTTTCAGTACATTGATATTTTTACAACACTTATTATTCCAACTTTAGCACTTTTTATTATGAACTCTAGAATTAGCTTTCAAATCATATATTTCTTCAAAGAGAGGAAGGTTTTGACTCAGGCAGTAAGAACCTCAATTAAAAAGCCAAAGTCATGGAACACACAAGACAGTTCAAGATTGGCTCAAATGAAGATAACAAAAATGTTGCTTGTGGTGTCAACAGTTTTTCTTCTACTTAATCTACCCGCCCATGCTATTCGTCTTCAAGCAACACTGATTCAAGTGTTGAAAATAAGAACTGGTTCGCATCTTGAATCTGTGCTTCAAGGGTATTTTCAATTACTTTTCTATCTTAACTTTGGGATCAATTTCTTTCTGTACAGTTTCTGTGGCAAAAATTTTCGCCTTGCGACTACAAAGATGTTTCGAAATACATACCACAATTTGTGTCAGCGTAAAATACGTGAGCGTTATTCATTGGTAACACGCTGGGGGAACACAAACAATCGACATGACACTTCCCCACCACAGGGATCATCGACAAGGAACACCTTAACAACGGAATCAAACCACCCACAGAATGCTTTCAATATGGGAACAATGTACTTTAATGGCAAATCATATAGTGTCAAGTCACACAAATATCATCGAAACTCTTCAGAACTGATCTGAATTTGGAGTATTGCCCATGGTTAATTTGGTGCCTCTGTAATTTGATGTGTTCACAATTCAGGTTGAAAGCGTTATGTTCATTTTGGTATATGATGTATATTACCTTGGTGACAAAAATGAATTTAACTGTAAAATTCATCAAATTAAACAGCCCCATATCAACCATCAGTACAGTTTAATGAAAAAGGGTAAATATATAGACAAGGAAAGTTCATAAAATTCTCAATGGAAGGAAATGTCAAATGCATTTTGCAAAATCACATATCAGTATGGTATGTGTAAGAAATTATGGTCTGAATATTGTATGTATGTATGAAGTGTTTAATATTTTTTGACTATTAGGTGTAATTCAATATCTGTAATTATAGAAGCTTTAAAATTGTTTATGGAAAAAGTGAATTAATAATTCTTCATAGAAAATTCATTCAAACTCGAACTCACCAAACTGCTTAACTTGGTTAAGAATTTACATAAATTTACATATTATAAATAAATATTAAACACAGGGAGAACACGCGTCTCGAACCCACAACCTCGTGGTTACGGCGCCTAGCCTGAACGTGCCGGCGCTCAAGCCCTCTCGGCCAACTCGACAACCCGAAAAAAAGGTTGTTTTGTTAGTCGATCTGACTAGAGGCAGCTGAAGTTAACGTTCAGACACACCAGAGAAAGCACCCTACCCTTTTTTATCCCTTTGGCACTAGCGCTTATATATCCCTACACATACACACATTGCTCAACTGAGAAATATAGACCAAAGAGCAGGTATTATATTAACTAATATATACCGCAGGGCTAGGCACAAACATTTTCTGTTTCCGAAAGCTTTTGTACCTTGCCCTAATTATAAGGTATGTATTCATTGATGTAACACCTGTATTATGATTCAAACATGAAACTCACCAAAATCTTTTCAAATTCATAATCGCCCACCATTAATACGACTCCCATTATGAAGTCACACATTATTCATATTACCAGGTGCTGTCTCGACGAATACATACTGGGTGAAATATCGACTTTTACAGTTTATAGAAGGCGTGAATACAGTCATGTTCGAATTTATAATATTGCTAGTGTTGTATATAATATTGTTTTGAGATTCTGAGAGAAATATTATAAACAATTTATATTTTTTGTGAAGATTTTATGTGTGTTACATTTATTCATACATAAAACATAAATGTGCTCATTTTAATTTAAATAAATATTTAACCTATGAAAACCTATTTTGTGTGACATTATTATTCAGTATTTTATTCCAAGCTGTGAAATTATGTTCAAAATAAGAAACCTTAATAATTGTGAAATAAATACTCAACTTTATTCCCAAATGGAAACAATAATAAAGCTTACCTGACAATAAAGCTTACCTGACTATAAAGAGTAGAAAGAAGCCTCATAAGGAATTAATAACAAAACTCACCTGATGGAGTAGAAAGAACAGCCTTCTGAGTAGCAAAACCACACCAACCTACTGTAAAAAAAATGTAAACAATAATTAGTGCACATCTTATCTGGAAGTGTCAATCAAAATTAATATATATATATAGCAGTTGCACAGTCAGCCGACAAAACTTCTTATCTGGTATAAGAGATAATTTGTGATGATCATAATAAGATCCAGGAGAATGTTCTAAAGGAGTCAACACCATTGATGACAATGCAAAGGGATGGCATCTCATTGAAGATCTTATAAGCATCAGATAAGAATGGCAGAACCTCATTTGATGGGATAACAATACATCATTTGTGTGATCTACATTGAGGTATTGACATAAAAATTGATTTACAGAAGCTTTAGGATAGGCATATTCTACCATTCAAATATTTAAGCTAATACTGACTTCTATTTTTATCAACAGATCTTTGAATATCAGTGGTAAATTGTTCATGTGTCCAAGATTCACCATTTTGATCCGCTTTTCACCTTCACTATCACATAGACACGAGGGTTGAACTGCAATGGCACCATCCAGAGATTTTGTGGTAGTTCTTTCTAATTCTCCTGCAGTACTTCTTTTAGTGGATCAATAGGTTTTGTGGGGATTAACTGCAATAAACTGCTCCAGGTGCCCCCATGTAAGATAGACACAGGGGTTGGCATCTGGCGTATTGGGCAGCAATATATCAGGACTGATGAATCTAGAGGTATCCTCCTCCAGTCCAAAGTGACCCTTGCCCGCTGGCTGGGAATGTTAGTGAAGGTAAAAGGTGGATGTAAGAACATGTGATTAATAAATAATGAATAGATCAGTATAACATAATACCATAGTGAGTATATACTAATATAAAACTGTACTAGATATTGAATAAACAGATATCAGAGACTGTAGCAGATTTAGTGAACATAATGAATGTTTTATTATTGATCACATAAAATCATTAAAAGTCACATTTTTTTGGAAAAGCAGTTAATCTCGGACACATGAACAATTTACCGCTGATATTCAAGATCTGTCCAAAAAATTAGAAGTCAGTATTAGCTTAAATATTTGAATGGTAAAATATGCCTATCCTAAACTTTCTGTAAATCAATTTTTATGTTAATACCTTAATGTTATGATACTTTTCTAGCCTTTTGAAAAAGTTGCAAAATTTTTGGACCACCCTGTCTGCTGTATATCTTGGTATTTTAATTGGAGTTGACCCAATATTCAATGACTGGGGTGTAACCAGCAATTGTCAAGGGGTGCAATTGCACCGCCTGGCTACGTCCATGAATGAAAACTATTGTCTTCTCCAAAAGACAAAGTTAGTCAGGAAGAAAATTATTTGAAGTTCAGACAATTTGTGGTCCCATTTGTTTGACATTTATAGTGTGTGGTCCCTTATAAAAAGATAATTAACAAATAGATTACTGGAAGCCAAAGATACCATCTCAAGGGATATTTGCTATATTAACTAAGGATACTTGAAATTATTCAGGTCTAGTGTCATGAAAGTCATAAAATTGGAAATAACCAGAGGAAGGCAGGTTATTAAAGATGTAGAAATCATCTTATTATGACAGTAAATATCCCAAATTTGCAGTTGTTAAAAATACTTAAAAATGAATATACTAAATGTAGATTAACATTTTCAATTATGATGCAATCTTGGAATAAAATTTCAATTCATGAATTAATGGTGTAATCATAAAGGATCAACAGTGTGGGGATTAAACATATCCAAAGCTAAAATATTATTCTAATCCTTAATGAAGTTAACAATTTCACACTTAATAGACCACACTTAAAGTGGATCATGTGTTAACCAAAATGTGTTAAAGGAATATTCCTGGCCAGACCATTTCTCTCCTAATATGGTAGCTATAACCATATATATACTTTCCATATTTAGCAAAACAGGGAAAAGTGTTTTGATATAGTCAATATTTATCACTTGAAAATGTAGTGCCGAATTCCAGTAGGCTGCCATCTTTTAATATTTCACTCAGGAAGTGATGTCATCGACTCTCAACTTTGCATATAACACTATAAGGAGCTATTAAGAATTACAAAACCAGCTGAATATATTCTTTTCAATTTTGTCTATGATTTAATCCTTCTAAAAGTCTCCTCTTTTATTTTAAGCTGACAAGCTCTGAACATATTTTTGCACATAAAGTAAGGATCACTCGTCTAGAAGTGATATTGTGCTATTTTCCTATACTGTTATATGCAAGGTCATGAAAGTTGAGAGTCGATGACATCACTTCCTGAGTAAAATCTTAAAAGATGGCAGCTTGCTGGAAATGAGCACTACATTTTTAAATTATCAATATTGACTTTATTAAAAGATTTCCCCATGTTTTGCTAAATATGGAAAGTATATATATGATTATAGCTATAGCTGATTACATCAGGATAGAAAAGGTTTGGCCAGGAATGTTCCTTTAACCAAGATTCCTCCATAAATATAGACCACATCACAGACACTTTCTGAAAACATTTTACCATAGCAACCAGGCAGATCTTACTATACATATTCCAGGGCAGATGGATGGGCATCTTCATCAGTCAGCTGACAGAAGATTCCATCCATCCATCCTTCTGTCTTTCTTGAAATCTCAATCAACAGCAATAACAATCAGATATGATCTTAGGAGAATGGAAAGCTTCAAATATGAAAAGGCCATAAAATAATAATTTAATGAAAACAAAGCCAAAAATATAAGCAAACTTTTAAAACTTGACTCAGGCCAAAGAGGGTAGTAAAGTTGCTCAATTGATTCTGAACTTATAAAGTATCCATACCATTCATAAGCTTCTAAGTTTAACTGCTGTCAAGAAACTGCAGGACCATGTAAAGGAGCAGCTCCTGATAATTGAGGTGAAACCTGAAAGTACAGCAAAAATTCAAAAACTTGTCGAAACTAGTCTGCTTATACAGTGCATCCCAAAAAATGCAACAAGCAAAAACATTGTAAAACCACAAAACCAGTGATGATTAAATCAATTTCATTTAATTTACCGTGAAGTTATGTGTCTCCTTTTTCCCATGGTGTGTCATTTGTTCATATCTGATAATGGACCACTGAATAATCATTGTTTTTTCATGCATGATATTATATGATCCTTTATTTCCTCCAATTTGGAGAGTATGTATTTGTGCCAAGTTTTGAAATATCCTTAGTCAACTGATCCAATTGTATAATCAGGTAAATCATTATGTTAAGTCAGCAAAATCACAATCATTGCCAGTGTCTGTCATCTTATGAAATATTATATTCTATGCCCCTCCACTTGGCCACCATTTCTCTACACATAGATTGACTTGTCTCTCCATGTCACAAATACCTTTTTTGAATCATCTGTGGGTTCTGACGGATAACAGCAACCTTATTGGTGATTCTCCATTAACTGTTGTATGTCGTAAAAGTAATGATTATTCAGTGGTATGTGGTCATGTATGAATAAATGACATACCATTGGAAAGAGGGGACATGTGGCTCCATGGTGAAATAACTGAAATCCATGTTATCATCACTGGTTTTATGGTTTTACAATGTTTTTTTTTGTTGCGTTTTTTGGGACGCACTGTATATAACAAGGGACAAAGTGGAGAACTTGAAGCAATGCAGTGAGTTTATAAGTAATGTAGCTACAATGGGTGAGTTAGGTAGATTCTCTCTGTTTATCAATATATTTTACCAACAAGTTAAATACTTAAATCATATAGAAAATGAAGGAACGAGTTCATTACTAATCAATGCATATGCAGATAGTATTGAACTATCAAAAGTTCATA